CAGCCTCCCGAGTAGCTGGGACTACAGGCGCCCGCCACCTCGCCCGGCTAGTTTTTTGTATTTTTTTAGTAGAGACGGGGTTTCACCGCGTTAGCTAGGGTGGTCTCAATCTCCTGACCTTGTGATTCGCCCGTCTCGGCCTCCCAAAGTGCTGGGATTACAGGCTTGAGCCACCGCGCCCGGCCAGGTTATGACTATTTTCTTGAGCTGAGAGATAAACCCCATCTTGTCAATGCTAGTGAGAATTAGACCATGAAGAGCTGATTCTAGGAGCCCAAAGGTGACATCACATAATGTGCTCATTTAGAAAAACCCTGTACCCTGCTTGGGGTGTGCATGGTGACCTCTTCCCATCAGATTCTTGGGAGGAATAGCAGAGTTAGTCATTGAGCAGACACAGTGAGGAGCCAGCCACCTTGGTTTGAACTCCAGTTCTGCCTCTGACTAGCTGTGTGCCCTTGGGCAAGTTATTTAACTTCTCTGTAACTCAGTTTCCTCCTTTGTAAAATAGGAAAGATATTGGTATCTGTCACCGGCTGTTTAGTGTATTCAATGGAATGCTATTTGTAGGGCATGTAGAACAGTGCTTGCCACATCATTAGTTCTCCGTAGGCATTTGCCAAATAAGTTGCTATCAGTTGTTCATTTTTTCTTGCAGCCATCAAAATTTTAGACAGCTTTCAGTGGTTTAGTCATAAGACCTTGAATTATCTTTCCTATATTTTCTTTCCTCAAAAAGAAGCCTATTTATCATGTGCCATATCTTCAGGTCCTGGTATACCTATCTATAAGATATCATGGGAACCGATTTTCTATTCATCAGCTTCTCTTTGAGCAAAAGTTATCCCAAAGCTGTATAATTATAGCGTCTGTATTTACAGAGTTCTGTCCTTTGTACAATGAGAAGGAAATTGTATGGCATGATACTTAACTCATTTCCTTCCAATAGGCCAGATTTCATTTGGGTTCATAGCTGTTGAGCAGACTTGAAAAAAATTCTACCTGGGGTCCACAGGTGTTCAGCAGACTAAAAAAATTATCTTTCCAATATATTGATAAAAATCTACAAAAGCATTTACTCTATTAATTTTTTAATTCTAGTGAAACATTCTTAGGCCATCCTTTGGGAGTCACTTGGGGGTCAGAAGATAATGGCATGCCCTAGCTCCTCCTGCGTAACCAAATCTCTGGTTTACTGGTAGGCATTTGCTATTTAATCTAAGGTGCATAACTGCTTGGGAAAGGTATCTTAATCTTCCACCCTTTCTTTGCATCCTGGATTTTAAACTGACTTATGTAATCCCACTTATACAGTCTAGTATTTAATAGGAGTAATGGTACATGGATTTATACTTACAACAGATGGAATTTAAAGGATTCTATGAACATTCTACTTTAAATTTATTCCTGTAAATTATTCATAATTTGGGGTGATTGTTTCTATTGTGGTAAAGAACCAAATATTCAGGAAAATAATATGCCAGACAATACTGTAATGTAGAATATATCATTGTAAGGATCATTTTTACCTTGAATTACTGTCACATCAGTGGCATTAATTTTATGTCTTCCAGTCCTTTTTCCCTTAATTTCATTGTGTTCTCAAATTCTCTTGCCCTCTCATATTTCTCTTATCTCTTGCCTTTTTCCCTTCTTGGATGGCTGGAGTTTAATTTTTTTTTTCATTTTACTGGTTTTCCTCTCCTCCCCTTGGATATTTTTCTAATATTGTTGGATGCTTTCATGCACCAGAGGGTAGAAACTCGGCTGTACTGACCCAATAGCTGGATATAAATTAGCACTGATTCTCTCTGCCTAGCAAAAACTGCTGAATCCAGCCAGGCCACAAGATGGGATCCAGGAGGATATCCAAGTTGTTCTCTAGCCAGCATGCAGCATCTATTCTGTGCACCAGTATTTTCCATCTCCATTTTTTAAAGACAGTGCTGCCATTTGGTCTTCTGTGTGCTGAGGACTCTCCTGATGGCTCTTTTGCAGGATGTAAGTCCTCCTACTTTACTGAAGCAATGAAGGGAGTTGCAAGAGTCAAGACCACACCTATGGGGCTTCCTCCCCATAGAGACACTATAAGCCAGAATAGTTGAAGCTGTGGAATTAGAACACTAAAATGGAAAGAATCATAAGTGTCAGTACCAAAGGCAACAAGAGTGAGGAAGATTAACAGAGCACTTTAAATAGATATTTAATTCAACTTAGCAGCATTTGTTGAACACATACGGAGTGCCCATTTACTCTGCTGGGTGCTGAAATTAACAAAATGAGTACAATGACTCTTTGCCCTAAAGGGCAGAAAACAAGGAGGTTAAGGTACATTTGATGAGATGAGCACAACAACAAAAGTGTATAGTTGGAACAGACACACAGGAGGAAAGTGACTTAACATTAGGGATGGGGGCATTTAGGAATGCTGCTTGGAGGAGGGAACCTCAGCAGGGTTCTGAAAGACTCAGTAAATTAGGAGACATAGTAAAATTCCAACACAAAATCACAGTATGTGCAGGATTGAGAGGTGTTGTATTTTCACTTTGTGTTTAAAATGATTACCTTGATAACGATGAGAAAGATAGGTGAAAGGTACTGGGGGTAGACAGGTGGTAAGAAGGATGAGGGAAGAAGAGTGCAAATAAGACCATTGCAGTAGTCTAGGCAAAGCCTCAGACTAAGGCCAGGGCAGTGGAAATGAAGCAGAAAAGGTGGAATTGAGGACATTTAGGGGTGGAATTAAACTTTGTGACTGGTTGGATTATGAGTGTGGCTTATAGAAGCATCAGCATCACCTTAGTGTCCCCCTCTCTCCCCTCGCCCTGTGGACCTTAGTCACATGTAATATAACCAAGCTCCTGTTTCTATGAAAGAAACCAACGGGCCTATCTGTACATAGCACCTCATAAATCCTTTTTTAAAAAAAGTAGAGGAAGATAATGGACTATTTTGCCACTTCTAAGGCTGGGTAATAAATGTGTTTGTAACCCCCAGCCCAGAATTGATAGGATTTGATGAGAAAGTACCT